GCTCTCCTTCAACTCCCACCAAGCCCTGTGGGGGAAACTGAGGCCAGGGTGAGTAATAAGTTAATTTCCTTTCTGACTCCATAGCTTTGCTTTTTCGAGTTCTTCTGTCCAGGATATCATTTCTTCTCCACACCCTCCAATGACATTCTATTCGTCCATTCTTCAAGACCAGCCCAGAGACTATGGGCCAGGATGTATATGGCAGCCATTTTTTAACAGCCTAGGAAACAAAACCAGGTCATGGCCAAATAGTAGAAAACTACACAGCCAAGTAGTGATGTTATTGCTATTGTTACTGTTATTGTTGTTGTGTTCGTTGGTGCAGAGTTGGCTGCGACTCCTGGCGATGCCGTGCACAACAGAATGAAACACTGCCCAGTCCCGTGCCCCCTCCTCACTGTTGATGTGCTCAGGCCCGTTGCTATGGCCACTGTGTATTTTGAGCGCCTTCCAGCCAATGGGGCTCATCTTCCAGTTCTTGATTGGGCAGTGTTTTGTTGTCATCCATAGGACTTCCCTTGGCTGATTTTTGGAAGTAGACCTCCACACCTTTCTCCCTAGTCTGTCTTACTCTGGAAGCTCTCCTGAAACCTGTCCACCATGGATGACCCTGCTGATGTTTGAAATGCTGGTGGCACAGCTTCCAGTATCATAGCAACACAGAAGTCACTGCAGTAGACAGAGTGACAGATGGGTGATTGTCTTGTTAAATGCCGATTGTGATCCAGCAGGTCTGGGGTGGAGCCTGAGATTCTGATATCTGACAAACTCCAGGTGATACCTATGCTGCTGGCCTGATGTCAGTGATACAGCAGTGCAGATACACAATGTGATCTCATTTCTGTAAAACAAAATGAAACACAGCAAACCTATAAATAAAACCTCCACATGAATGCCTACAGGAAAAAAAGGCCAAAGAATAAAACTTAAACTGTAAACAGTGGTTATCTCTGTCTGGGGGGATGACTAGAGGTTTTCAAATACTTGTGTAAAGTCTGATTTTTTTTTTTAATTTTTATTTATTTTTGAAGTGTTCCCTCCCCTCCCCTCCTACTCCTGGTAACCAACCAAGTTTCCTTCCATATGTAAACCTTTCCTCAATAAAGTCTTATTTTTACAATAAGCTTTACTATAATAAGTAAAAAAAGAAAAAGATTAGAAATGCTAAAAGCATAACCCAGAAATTTCAATCCTAGGTCTATACCCAGAAAACATGAAGGCAGGAGGGAAAACAGAAACCTGTACACCAATGTTCATTCTGTCACTTTTCACAATAGCCACTGATGAACAGATAAACAAAATATGGTCCACACACACAATGGAGTATTATTCAACATAAAGAGAAATGAAGTCCTGATGTATGCCACAAGAAGGATGAATGTTAAAAAAAAAAAAAAAAAAAAACACCATGGTGAGCAAAATAAATCAGTTGCGAAAGAATACTGTATGATCTCATTTATACGAAATAAGCAAATATATAGAAATCAAAGATTAGTCACTCCCAGCAGTGGGAGGGAGAGAAGAGGGGGAGTGTTTGCTTAAGGGGCAGTAAGTTCAGGTGGAATGATTTGGGAAAGGATAAGAAGAATGGTTATACAACTTGAAGAATATAATCAATGCCACTGAATTGTACATGGAGAAATTGTTGAGACAGTCAATGTTTTGTTGTGTGTGTTTTCACCACACACAGACACACACACAAAATACTAAAAGCCCAGCTGTGACGGACCCCTCTAGGTAGATGTCTATAAACTTCAGCCCTTCCCCAAATTAATGGTTGTACTCCAGGCTTCTTGGACCGGGCTGCCTGTGTGTCTGTCCCCCAAGCCCCACAGGGAGCCCCCGGGGCAGGTGTGACATCTCTGCCATCTCTGGCTCTCAGCATCTAAGAGCAGGCTGGCCTGGAACTGCTGCATGGAGTGCAGTTGTACTGAGCTCCCGGTCCAGCTCTCTGAGGGGCTGTCATCGCTGGCATTGCCATAGCTGCTGTTTACTGTGGGCCTTGGGAGTGCCAAGCCTGGGCCAGGCCCTTCACAGGCATATCCACCTATCATTGTTCCCATTTTCTAGATTAGAGAACTGAGGCTCAGATACTTAGAACCTGTATCACACAGCTTGTCTAAGGCCTAGGCCAAGCTGCTAACCTCCTCCACTAGCATATCAGGGGTGGTCTGCTTGTTGTCCTCTGTCCAGATGTCTACATGGCTCACTCCCTCACTTCCTTCATGTCTCTGCTCAGATTTCATCTTACCAGAGAGTCCGTCCCTGACCACCCTATACAAAACAGCAACACTGTGTTTTCATCCAACCTTCCCCAGCCCCTGACCCTGTTGTCTTGCTCTACTTAACATCCATCATCATCTGACATACTCATATTTATTGGTTTATTTGCATATTATCCCTTTTTTTCCACTAGACTATAAGCCACATGTGGGGAAGGATTTTATATATTTTGCTCACTGGGGCCTAGTATAGTGCTTGGCATATAATAATAATTAAAAACAAAAAAACCCTCAGTGCATAAAATAATTTTTAAAAACACTTCGATTCAGACTCTTAAAGAGCCCCATTGGGTTTCCGAGATGGGAAATCTTTATGGAATTAGATTGCCCCATCTTCCTTCTGCGGAGGGGTTGGTGGATTTGAACTGCTGATCTTTCTGGTTAGCAGCCAAATGCCTTAGCCACTCTACCACCAGAGCTCCTTTGGCATATAATAGGTGCTCAATAAATATGCATTAATAAATGAGTGGATGACTCCAGTTTACAGACCACCCCTCTCCTAGCAGTGTTCCTCAATTCCATTCACAGGACTGGGAGGTGACTCACTGAACCTCAACAGCACAGAGTAGGCTGGCCTCCTATGTGCAGTGAATTACTTGATTTTGGCCCTTCTAGCCAGTCTTCGTAACTACCACTAAATAAGTGGGTGGGACTATGCAAATAAGGTGCTTGGAACCCTAATGAAGGTCAGTTTTGCCTTCACACTAGGCTTAAAAGAGAGCCAGTCCCACAGCACGGGGGTGGGGTAGGGGTGGGGGTGTGATGTCTCACTACCACCAAAAAAGAAGAGCTGGGAACGTCCTTTGGACCCAGGATCTCTACCTGAGCACCTTCTAGACGAGAGAGAGAGAGAGAGAGAGAGAGAGAGAGAGAGACAGAGACAGAGAGAGAGAGAGAGAGCGCTGTAATGCCAGAGACAAGACATGACAAGCAGGAGCAGAGAAATGGCAGCAGCAGAGCAGCAGAACCAGGAGAAGGCCCAGTGAGCTTCCCAGCCACTTGCCAGACCAAGGCTTACCTGACCAACAGAGTGGAAGAGCTGAGAGGCTTTGGCCTAAGGTTTACTGGTGGAGTGGGGTGCCTCTGGGTCACTTACTGGCAGAGCTAAAAGAGCTTTGTAACACTCGCTTGAGCAAGGGAGAGTCTGGACCAAGGTGCTGAGAACCAGAGAGAGGCCTCCCTACAGGTATGGCTGAGAGGACTCAGTCTTCATCAAAGAACTGTATCCTGAATTGTTTTCCATCCTGAATTTAACCTATTACTTCCTTAATAAGCCCCATAATCGTGAGTGTTTTCTGTGAGTTCTATGTGGCCACTGCAATGAATCATTGAACTCAGCATGAGATTCAGAGAGTGCCGTGGGAGGGGTGGCTGGTGTGGCAGAACTGGTAAAAAGGTTGGAGGGTGGAGGCATGTTTGACTCTGCCTCGTAGGAATTAGTTTTGGGCTGTTGATCTTGATTCTTATTCTCCCAGTGAAGTTAGAAGACAAAGTCTGACGTCTCCCCCACCACACCATTTTCACACTTCCCTTTCCCATCCTCCTTGTGGGGAGCCCCATATGCAGCGGTAGATGGCTGTGTGAGAGGGATAAGCAGGGTGGCGTTGGAGTCGTCCTGGATTTGAATCTCAGTGTTTTTCCTTCCACCTTCTGATAGGTTGGGGCAAACATTGCCACCTTCTAGAAAAAAAACACCTCACTGCCTGTTGAGTCACCTCCGACTCACAGCGACCCCTCCTTGAGTTTCTGAGGCATATCACTACAGAAGTAGATTGCTGGTTAGCAGTCAAATACCTCAGGCACTACGCCACCAGAGCTCCCACCTTCTAGGACAAGGACTCCCAATTCTTCCAAGTAGGTTTTCCAAGCTTAGGGCCATTGTACTTCCTGTTCCCTCTGCCTGGCATGCTCTTCCCCCTACTGGTGGCTGGATCCTTCTCATCATTTGGTTTCATCTCAAATGTCTTCTCCTCAGAGAAGCCCTCTTAACTCCCTTCGGGTTAAAGTGGACTTTTCACATCCATCTCCCCTTACATCTCCTGTTCATTTCCTCCATCCTTCTTACTATGTTATTTTCTCTTTTACTGCCTCATTTATCTGTTTTTTCTTTCACTGTCTATTTCTATCACCTCAGTGTCAGATTTCTGGGCGGTAAAAGCCTTGTCTATCTCGTTCACTGCTGAATTCCCAGAGCCTAGAACACGACTTGGCTCATAGTTAGTACTGACTAAATTATTTGTTAAATTAATGTCCCATTTTTTCTCATTCTGAAAACAGGGAAACTGAGTCCAGAGGTAAGAAGGGACATTTCAGAGACAAGTAGGTGTCAGAATCTAGAGCTTCTAGAAGCAGGGAAGCTGGGTGAAGCTCCAGGTCAGGAGACTGACCTTGGAGGAGGCCTATTTTCTCTCCAGACCTCAGTTTCCACATATGTAAGATGGAGTGAGGCAACCAAGAAGGCCAAGGGGCCTGGTACTAAAGGTGAGATCCCTCCCATTCCCAGAAATGAGATTCTGGGAGCACCACCCACGCTCCCCGGACTCCGCTAAAGCTCCCTAAAAACCGCAGAAGGAGAAGACTACAGCCCCCATGGTGCCTCGGGCGGTGCCTGCGCACAGCGGCCGGTCAGCAGGGTTGCGTGCGCCCTCTGGCGGCGACTAGAGGCGACGCGACGCTCGCATCCCCGAGGGGCGGGGGGCCCGCGGTGCAGGCAGTCGGGGCGCGAGGTTGCAGCGGCGAAGCGGGAGCCGAAGTCTGGAGCAGGGGAGGCTGCCGAATCGCAGCCTGCGGGGCCCGCCGCAGCCATGGGCAACCGCGGCATGGAGGACCTTATTCCGCTGGTCAATCGACTGCAGGACGCTTTCTCTGCCATCGGCCAGAACGCAGACCTCGACCTGCCTCAGATCGCCGTGGTGGGCGGCCAAAGCGCTGGCAAGAGCTCGGTGCTCGAGAATTTCGTAGGCAGGTAAGAGCGGCGCGTCCCGGAGCGCAGATCCTCGTCCCCCGGGCACCCTGGATCCTAGCCCCCGGTCCCGACGGCGCCGCGATCTCGTAGTCCCGGGCCCTGCACCCACGGACGGCGCGCCCCCCATTCCCAGTCAGAAGGAAGCAGCCCTTCCCCCCGCCACCTCTGGAGCCCCTTGGGGGCGGCAGCGCCCCCAGCTCGTCTGCAAATGTTGTCAAGCTACCGGCCACTGTATCACGCCCCCCTCCTCCGCCCATTCTTTAGGGAAGACAGCGCTCTGAGGAGACCCTGGCAAAGAGCTGTCTCCCCCACCATGGGCACTCAGGGGCCGCGCGTTACTCAGCGCCCCCCTTCGGCTACAAGAGTCCCTTGGAGAGGGCAGCACCTCAGGGCAGTGTCTCCCAACCCAGGCTCTATGGAGGACAACCGCCTTCCTCCACCGGAATACGTGGGCATTGGCAAGCCCTCCCCCCACCGAAGAGGACATAGGCCCGTGGGCACTGGGGGCCAAGCACAGTCTCCCCCCTTTCTCACACACACACCTCTGCAGCTCCCAGTCGCCATCCGTGCGCGGCAGCGCGACAGAGGGGGAGGCGCGGGCTGCAGGCTGAGGAAGGAAAGGATGGAGGGGTAGGGGAGAGAAAACCCGCTTCTGATCCTTTTCTAAGCAGCCAGCCCCTGGCTCCGCCGCCGCTCCTGGGTGTCAATGTCGGTCTCCCCTTGGCCTGGCAGAGGGACTGCGATGGAGGGAGAAGGAAGCGGAGGGCGGAGATGACTAAGACAGGGAGGGGGGATGGGGCGAGGGGGGGAGCCATTTGCAGAGCCTAATCCCCCTCCCGCCTCTGATCCCACAAGGCGATGGGAGGGCCAGGTGTCGTGGAGTGGGGGGGGGTGCAACCATAAAGACAAAGGGTCCTGGGTTGAGGGCAAGTAGAGTTGTGACCGTCCACCCCCAGGCTCCCCCAGGAAAGGGGAGGAATGGATGGCTTTTCTGCTGCGGACTAGTAGAGAGGGAGGATGGCTCACTCTCAGTTGCTGGAGGCCGAAGGGGAGGCTGAGCAGACCTTAGGCGAGTTGACACTGCCCTCCTGCCCTCTGTTCCCCTCCCTTGCCTTCTTTCGAAGTCCTAGCTTGCTTCCAACGACCTTCAAGGCAAGCTTGGGCTGGGGGCAGGGAGACAGGGGCTCCTTCCCCCAGAGAGACAGCAGTTCTAAGGGGTGACTTCTGGATCCCAACGAGATTCTGCTGTGAAACCTCCAGCAAGTCCCTTGCCCTCTCTGAGCCTCAATTTCCCCATCTGTAATATGGGCATTTGGTCTTAATGGTCATTTTTACCACCAAATAATCTGGGGGAGCCCAGGGCCAGCCCTCAGGGTGAGAGGGAGAAAACTCAACTGGAGTCATGTATCTGTGGGCTGTAGGAAAGGCGCTGCGGGGGCGGCCGGGCCCATCTGGTCAGCAGAGGAGGAGGCTGTCTGTCTCCGGGGGACATGCTCTGCAGAACCCTCTCCTGTGCACGTGACCTCAGAACTGCAGGGACACAGACAAGAGGCACACAGATGAGCCCCTTCCCCGAAGGTCCACAGCCCAGGACAGGGTTTGTGTGGGGGGGACCCTGCAGACAGCAAAGGCCAGAGGCCTTGATGTTTCTAATGTCCCTTACAGACATCTAGCAGATCATAAATGACAGGAATACGGTGTTCATACTTCACAGTGTTCGTACTTCACGGTGTTCATACTTCACAGTGTTCATACCGTATTCCTGCCATTTATGTTCATGCATTCATTTATGTGTCTACTGAACACTGGCTGAATGGCTGCTCAGTGCCAGGCTGTGTGCTCTGCATAGGGCACACAGAGGAGAGCAACTGACACCCTCAGCTCCCATTAGGTGAGCCCTTCTCATGTGCTCCATGCCATGCTGAACTCTTTACAGGTGTGGCCTCACATTAGCCCCAGGAGACAGGTACCATGAAACCTACCTTACAGAATAAGAAACTGAGACTCTGGAGGTTAGATGCCTTGGTCAAGGTCACACCGCCAGGAAGGGCAGTATTTGTTAGACTCCAAAGCCCAGGTTCCTAATCTTGCCCCTGCACTTGGCACTGGGCACCAGGGACATGCAGGTGTGTGGCCTCAGCTTTGGGACATTTGACAGCTGCTGTCCTGCCTTCCTGAGAGGATGTTCCAATGAGTGTAAAAGTCCTTCAGCAGCCATGTGAGAGGGAGGTGTTGGTAGTCAGCTAGGCTTGGAAGCCTATAGGTATCAGGATAGACCTGGCCTCTGCCCCCTTGGAGTTCACTGTGCAGCGGAAGAGAGGCCAGTAAGCAGATAGCAGGGCTGGGCAGGCCAGCTGCAGCCACAGGAGTTGTGAGCTTTACTCCAAGAAGCGTAGACTCTGGCTGCCTTCCTCCATACCCCCAATGCCCTTTACCCTGGCCCAAGGCAAGGAGTGGACAGGAAAGCATTATTTGATCCTTATGAGAGCTGGGGAGCAGGCCAGGGCTGGGACACAGGCAGGGAAACTGAGGCTCTATCCCTGCCTGCTCTCTCATGGGCTCCTGACCTCTCCACCTAGGGCTGGGTCCCCAGGGCCAGGCTGTTGAGCATAGTAACAGTGGCTCTGCCTCCTGGGGCATCCTGAGAGCCAACCCCCCAAGGGGAGGAAGTGGAAAATGTATAGGAGGAAGTAGAGGCTGCTCCACGCCAGGCACCCAGGAGGACCCTGCAGTCAGCTCTGCAATGCAGATAGCCCAGCAGCTGTCCAGGACCTGTGCTACTTCCTCATCCCCCTTCATAGAGGGGACAACTGAGGTTGAGTCCTTCAGTCATTCAGTAAATAAATACTCATGGAGCGTCCACAGGGTCTCAGCACTAGAGATTCTAGGGTGGAAAAGAAAAGGCCTCTAAGTTCCAGAAGGGAAGACTCAGAAATAGTACACCTCAGCAGTTGTATGGTAAAAAGACAACTGGAGAATGTGGTCAGTGTGGGAGGAGGGAGAAGGGGTGCTTTCCACAGGGACATCAGAGAAGGTCTTTAGAGGAGATGGCATCCAAGGTGAGATAAGAATCTATGTGACTAGCTAAGTGGCCAGGCTGAGAGAACAGCAAATGCAAAGGTCCTAGGGCAGGAAAGAATTGAATGTGTTTGAAGAATAGAAAAGACCCACTATGGCTGGTGTTTGGTGTGAAAAGGAGAGACGGATCCCTGAGGTAGGCAGGGGCTAGATCCTCAAGGCCTCATGGACCATGATGAGGAATCTGGGCTTATTTGCCTTACTGCCGGAAGCTTTTAGGAAGCTTTTAGCTAGTGACTTAAGCTGATTCTAGCAAGTATGTGACTTTCAGGGGAGGGCAAGAGAAGAGGCAGGAGCTTGGTGAGGAGGCTGCTTCGGGGGCAAAAGGTGACAGAGACCCAGACCAGGGCTTAAGCAGTGGAGAGGAGGAGAAGGGGTGGAGGATATATTTTGGAGGACGGACCAACAGGACTTGCTGGTAAACAGAATATGGAGGGTGAAGGAGGGAGGAATCAAGGATGACTTCAGGATCTGTGATGGAGCGGACAGGTAGATGGAGGTGCTGTTAACAGAGACAGGGAAGTAAGTTTGAGGGGAAAGTAAGAATAGGAGTTTGCTTTTGAATGTGTAGAGATGAGATGCCTGTTGGATTCCTAAGTGAAGATGTCAGGTAGGCACTTTGGTGATATAAATTGAGAGATCAGGGCTGGATATAGAAATTTGGAAATCCCTGGTATATAGATAGGATTTAGATCCATAAGAGTAGATGAGGTCATTTTGGGAGCATGTATAAACAGCCAAGTGCTTGGGCCCCAGAACCCACATTTCATGAACAGATCCTTGGTGCCCCAGGCCAAAGGGGCCTCACCCTTGGTTGCATGCCCCCCCCCCCAACACAAGAAGAGGAGTGAATGTCTTAGGACAGGCTTCCAGGCTCCAGCTCCCCTGACCTCACTTGCTCTGGTGCCTATTCGGGCTGACAAATGGGAAGTACCCACCCTCCCTGCCCTCCTGGTCCCTGGGTGGAGGCCAAGGTCAGTGAGAATGTGGCAGAGAGGCCAAGAGCTTGGGCTCTGGAATTGGATCTGGGTTTGAAGCCCAGCTCTGTTACTTACAAGCTGAGTGACCTTGGGCATAGTTCTTAAATCCTGCTCAGTCACTATGTCTTCATCTGTAAAATGGGAATAATAATAGAACCTTCCTCCTGGGATTGTGGTGGGCGTTGAGATCACGCCAGTGAGGCACTCAGGGTAAAAGCCTGGCAGAAGGACGTGCCAGTTCTATTCCTGCCTGGGCACAGTCGGGCAAGCCCTTTGGGGTGGTGCAGGCAGGAAGGTGGGCTGGTGTGGGGATGGGGGATCTTCTCCATCCAGGTTGTGGCACAGAATGTGGTGAGTGAGCCTCTGCTCATAGCCCAAGGTGCAGCCTGGCTGGCAGGGTTTTGAATTTCCCCAGTGACTGCCTACCCTCCAGCGCAGGGTCTCAACCTCCCATCAATCCCCTTTCCCTTTCTTTCTCGTTCTAATCCCAGCAAGGGTTTGGTGCTGATCTCCAGCTTCTAAGAACTCTTCTCTTTGTCAGACCCGACCTGACATGGGAGACAGCTCACTCCCTGCTATTAATCTCTGTCTCTTTGACTGACTCCTTTGGTTGGGATACTTCTTAGTTGTCCCATTTGCCAGATTTGGAGACTGAGGCCCAAGAGAATTAGGGGATAATTGAGACATCCTAAGCAAAGTGTCACTGGCCTGGAGGGGGAGGAGGGATCTGACATTTATTTAGCACTTACTATGTGCCAAGACCTGGAGTTACAGCAGCAAACAAGACACACAACCCTGCCCCCAGGAGACTCCCACCTGGCCAGAGCAGATAGACAGTAAGTCACCAAAGAGTTCATTTGTTGTAGATTTGGAAGAAGTGTGCAAGGAGCCTAATATTGAAAAGAGGAGACAAAAGAACTGGATGGTGCCCAACTACCATTA